ATTGAGTAATTGCTAAAATAAACTGTGTTACATCAGCTTTTAGCCCACAGTCGAACATTAAATCTTAAATCTCCATTGGAAAGTCTATGTGGGTGGTATGCCTGCTGTCTGGTTTGCTACAGGCTGAGAAATATTTTTTTTTCAACACGTGTTTGTGTGTTTCAGTCTGGATAAGACTATACAAGCACGGGGGGGTGTAGGGGGTGACATGCTTATTTTGAACTGATTTATTGAAGATGTATTAAACTATAATGAGTGAATGGTGCAGTGGTTACCCCACAGTCACACAGCAGGATTATGGGGTCGATTCTAACCCCCAGCACTGTGTCTGTGTCTGTGTGTTTGTGTCAGTGTGTGTGTGACATGGATTTTCTTCCAGTTCTCCCTCCAGTGCCAAGCTATGTGCTTAGGGGATTTGCTGCCTCTAAATATCTGCCCTGAAAACCGGTATAGGGTGAGTTGTGTGGAAGGCGGACGTACAGAAGATGCTTTGCGCTTTAGCGCTGGCTAATCAGAATGCTGGCACTATCCATTCTGATGGCATATAATCAATGAACTACATGTTGCATGACTGCCACGTGTACCAGCTTTTAGGGCCCAATAAGTGGCGCTGTTGCCTCATCCCACCTCCCCATAGCTGGGGGTTTGACCCCGCCCCCAATCTTTGTGTGTGGGAGTATTATGTGGGTTTTCAATGGGTACTCCAGTTTCCCCCTACAGTTACGTGAACTGCCCTGTGTGTGTGTGTCTTGTGATGGACTGGTTACATTCCTACCCACTTCACCATATATGAGCAGCGAAACACTTCAGTCCAGCAGGGGGCATAACAGTTAATGACATGGATTTATAATCTAAATATTACATGTTCATATATTTGCTCAAGTAAACCAGCCTCTAGAGTTGGCTGTTTAATTCTGTGTATGTGATTGGCTTCTTCTCCCCAGATTGTTGCTCCTGGGTGAATCCTTGTCTCTAAATCGGCGGTGTTGTGTGAGTGTGTGCATGAATATCATCGCCTACCGTACAGTCGCCGTTGCATGGAAGATGCTGTGAAGGGTCGTCTGGTGTTTATAGTGTAGGATAGCCGTTAGTGTGATGTTCTTCTGAATGAAAGAATGCAGACGCCCCAATTAAACAGAGGAATTTCCTATTTAATCCACATCCACTGCATAGACAGATCTATAATCAAGCACACAGTTATGCATTCTCCTGCAACAACCATTATCAGCAGAATAGAGGGTTGTTGTACAAGAGAGGTTAATCACTTTCTACTTGGCATCATCCCCATCTTTCCAACATTTCTGCCTTGCTAGATCTGCCCTGGATAACCATGAGTGAAGTGACTGTGAAGGACAAAACATCTGGGAACAAGTTCAGCTGTGAAGTGGTCAGTCACACAAGCTCACAGAAAGGGGCCCGATCACCCAACATCAATACACGACCTGAATGGCAGCAGATCCCAGCAGCAATGCTTCAGCATCTAATGAAAAGCCTTCCCAGAAGATCAGAGGCTATTATAGCAAAGGACAGACTGACTTCATATTAATACCCTTGGTTTCGTAATGAGATGTTGGACAGACTGGTATCCACATACTTTTGGCCTTCTAGTGTTTGTCAAAACCAGAGGTTGAAGCGGATACTGAAATGCAGAGCTGCAGTGCAGTTACTGGGGTAAGATAAATCCTGAATTCAGCAGCATAGCGTGGCTGAGTGCTCTCTGAAGGGAAAGTGTGGCCAGTGTGACGAGAAAGACGCGGGAATTGAAGCGTACAGTTTGCTAGGAGCAGAGTATTGTGGCAGCAAAACAAAACCACACATCTTACAGCACTATGCATATTAGCAAGTCGAGTGTCTGACCGCGTCACTCGCCAGATTCGCGTAACACGCTGTGGTCCAAAACCTAGTACAGACGGGTACTTTTTCCAGATCTTGGAGTCATGTGATCCACGTCCTGAGATTACCCCGAAATCCATGCGCCCCCCCCAAAACACCGTCCTACTGTATGTCGTGTTTATTTGCATGTGAATGAATGACGCTTTCCATCGCGGAGGTCTGTAGGTAAGGGCCAGTGACCGGCTGAGCTGAGGGACACGCTTGCTGTGGCAGAATGATGGTTTTCTTCTGCTTACTGACATGCTGGCAACGATGTCCGGCCTGAGCAAGAGGGGCAGGTCGGCCCCCCACGAGGTAGCCGTCACTGACCACTTCCTCAACCTTGTGTCCTCTCTCTCTCCTGGGCTGGTTCCTCCAGCTGTCACCCCCCTCAAGAAACATTCAAAAACCAAGAAAATCTTCTCCGAAAGAGTAGCTTATTTATTTCAATTTCGCTTGAATAATAAAGGTATCCATCCATGGAGCACAGACCACAAGGTAGGGGTTCACCCTGGACATCTATAGCTACATATGCAATGTGAACGCACAGAAGAATTGACTGCAGCAATATATGAAACTTTAGAATTTTATTATGTTGTTGTTCTTTTGGAATATTAATACGCAGTTGTGTGAAAAGTGTGCTTTTGTAGATTCCTGCCCGCACCCCAGAGGTGACCACATCCCACAATGCTGTGCTGGCAGTAGATTGGTCACCTTTGTATGAAATGGATGTCGAGGCACGAGAAAGCAGGGGCAGTCAGCCCTCAAAAAACCTTCCAAAACCTCCCCGCTCTTACGTGTTCTGCTGGCCTTTTGTGTCTTAAAGTTGCCAGCTTCCAATTGGCCGATTTGCATGTCATTTGATTGGCCAGAATTTAGATTTGATTGGCCTTCGCTTGTAATGACTGTATGAGAGGTGAAGCACAAGGCATCGCGTGACAGTAAATCCTCTCCTCTGTGTTCCCATAAACGATTACAACCGATTATCCTGCGCAGGTTTCTGGTGAGTCTGGACCCTATCCCTGGAAGTACAGGGCATGAGGTAGGACACATTCTGCCAGGGTTGTCCGGCCCTTACAGGACCTACGCTCACAAACTATGGACCATTTTATGTCACCATTCCTCATAAACCTCCTGTGGACCCGCAGATCCACAACCCTGGAGGTGAAAGGCCACATAGCTACCGAGCAAACCGCCCAAGAGAAACTGCGGAATTATAAAACAGAATGGAAAGGTCACATGGATAGCAGAGTTTAAAAGTGCAGGCAGCATAAAATAAATCAAATTCAGTTGACCGGCACAAAGGTAAACATCTAATGAGCATCATTCCTTTTTGTAGCACCTCTGGCTTTCGTTGAAGAAAAAGGCATCTTGCTGTTTTGTAATTCATTAAATCACCTTCTACCTGGTTGATGGGTGATGAGGCTCATTTTAAAGGGTTGTGCTGTCAAGGATGCTTTTGTGTCTTAAAGTTTCCAGCTTGTATTGTCTTAGGTGGATGATATTTTTTTTCCTTGTGTTGTTGCTTGTTGTGCTAACCCATAATTGTTGGTGGATGTTCTTGGGAAGAATTTGATGCATACCGAAGATGTTCAAACCCCACCAAAGTGCCCCTTGTGTGTCCCGCAGAAGCTGTGCTCTAACCAAAATCCCCCCCCACCCACCCCACTGATTTTTCCAGCTGGGACGAAAGCAGCTCCATCAGCAGCGGCCTAAGCGACGGCTCCGACAACCTCAGTTCCGAGGAATTCAACGCCAGCTCCTCACTGAACTCGCTGCCCACCACGCCGGTCGGTTCTCGCCGCAACTCCTCAGTCGTGGTGAGCGAGGAACGCCGCCGTCGTAGCCGCCCGCCACCGTGGGGCCGGGGGGGGGGGGGGGGGGGAGGGGGGGGGTGCCGTGTCCTCTGCTCCAGCAGGGCTCCCATTGGCTGGGGATGGGGAGTAGGGGAGGGGTGCCGTGTCCTCTGCTCCCATTGGCTGGAGATGGGGGGGTAGGGAAGGGGTGCCGTGTCCTCTGCTCCAGCAGGGCTCCCATTGGCTGGAAGTTCTCGGGTGATGATGAGGAAGGCTGTGAAGGTGCCCTGGCCAGTTCCCCGTATGCCGCTTCTCTAGCAGTCCAGCCATCCATGCTGAGATCGTCCAGACAGTCCTGTTTTACTCCCCCAACACCGGCTCACTGGCCGCCGGCCCCCACTGCTTAGAGTGCTGAGGCTTTTTTTGGCATTTCCTGGAAGGCAGCTCCGGACTCAGTCTCCCTCCTGACCTGCTGTGTATGTAGATGATGGCTTATTTTATTGGGGGGGGGAGACTTATAATTGGCTATTGTTTTCCAAACAAGGACCACATCCACTGCACGCCTCCTTGTATGTACAGTACTGTGCAAAATGAGGTTTAAAAGATCTTCATGTAACCCCAGCATTTGCACTTACCGTCCAATACACCCACGTATTTTTTCACTCGACCACACCTCATGTGGTTAATCAATAACTCACTGACTTTTTTTAAGCAATTAAATTGCTTAATTAATTAAGTGAGGTGGTTGAAATGTATCAGGCACACGGAACGGCTGAGGTGTCCCTGGGGAGAGGTTTGTGAACTGAAGCCGTGTCCATCTAGCCGTCCAACGAGATATCAGGAACGTTACTTTTAATTTGCATATGTTCTAATGTTAAACTGTGTTTTTGCTCTGGTGCACTTACTACCCTGATAAATAGCTTTAAATGTCTTCTTTTACTGAACACTGCAGTCACTTATCTACCTTAGGAACCTACAAGGACACTAAGAATATTTGTTTTCTTCCTTCGGTAGTGTTTTCTCTCCGATAGTGGATTAGCTGAAGGTTTTTAATGCATTAGTTTCCTAGCTATGTTGCATTGAGGTTAAATATCCCGCAGTTTGCAGTGAGGCATTTTGCTTCTTGAGCTCTTGCATGAAAGCTTGACATCACTGGGTGTGGTTCACTGTAACTTTAATGTCAGCTGTCCAGCTGACCTTGGAAAAAAAGTCTATTTTTGGTTTCCTGGGAAAATCTAAATTACCAAATAATTAAAGGAGGAATGAAATGGGTCCTGGCGATAATTAAGGTTCTGACTTGAGCCCCCGTATGCGTGTGGCCCCCGCCTGCAGCACCAAAGAGCGACCCGAAGGCGATGGACAAGGCCAAGATGGCGGTGAAGGGGGCAGCCCTGCAGCGGTCCTGCTCGGACGCGGGGAAGGAGCGGGGGGAGCCCCGCAAGCCGCCCACAGGGCTCAGCCGCCACCCCACTGCCACGTCCTTCGGCTACAAGAAGCCCCCCCCAGCCACGGGCACGGCCACGGTGATGACGGCGGGTGGCGTCACCATCTCCAGCGGCTCGGCCACCGTGGGCAAGACGCCGAAGTCTTCGGGCATCCCCATCAAGCCCATGGCAGGGGGGGGGACCGGTGGCAGCTGCGGGGGGGGCGGGGGGCGCAAGAACAGCCTGGACGTGTCCAATTGCGAGCAGGGATTCTTCTCACCCAGCTCCCGCAACAACATCCAGTACCGCAGCCTCCCCCGGCCGGCCAAGTCCAGCACCATGAGCCTGACCGGCCGCCCCCCAGCCCGGCCCGTCAGCAGCACCATCGACCCCAGCCTCCTCAGCCTGAAGCCGGCCCCTGTCCCCATCTCCGGGGGGCCCAAGCAGAAGGACCTGTGCAAGCCTACCAGCCGCGTGGCACTGGGCCCCGTCAACCAGACCGACCGCGAGAAGGAGAAAGCCAAGGCCAAGGCTGTGGCGTCCGACTCGGAGGACCGGGTTCAAAAGCCAGACTCCTCCCATTTGGCAGGGGAGGGCGGAGTCAAACAGCTGGGCCTCCGCCACTCCAGCGGGAGCAAGTACTCCGAGCTGTCCTCTCCCACAACTCCCAGGTATGCCCTCCCTTCGCTTACATCCTCCACTGTCTGACCATGTGACCCATCCTCCACCGTCCATGATAGACCTTCAGGGTCCTAGAGCCAGATGGTCTTAGACACAGCCAGCATTTCTAGAATAGCTCCTAAGCTCACACCCTGCGGTGGCCTGAGTACCTCGGGCCGAAAATGAAGCCCTTGTCTTACATATTAGTCCCCTAGACAGAGCAGCTGTACAGCAGTTTCGGACATTACTGGAGAAAAAATAACCAAAAATTCCTTCCTCTCAGAAATACTTTGTAGAGGAATCAGTTTCCGAGAAGGACACTTAAAAACCAGCCGGTTATCAGCACAAAATGTGCATCCAAATAGCCGGTGAAGCACCTTGAACTTCCAGAGGCGGAGATGCGGAGCTGACAGCTTTCGGACACTCCAGTGAAAGTCCATGAGCTGATGTCCATTGAAAAGTTAATAAAACACACATTTCCACTGAGGAGGCTAAATTTAACCAACAAGAATATCGACCTGCCTCATGTCTTTAACTGGTCTCTTCAGAAATAAATTGGAGTAGACGTTTAGGGCAGCGAGTGTCCTTTTCATGTGGCTCCTGTAGCCGGTCGCAGTTCCACTCCAGGAGCTCCTTGGACAGATTCCCTGGCATGGGTTATTCTGAGGAACCTGTATTTTTCTGTAGCTCTCTTTTTATCTTCCTCCTCACCAGTCCTGCATTTTCCATTTTCTGCATGTAGCATGTAGTCTCCTGTCCCAATTGACCTTGACTTACATAAATGGCTGGAAGTTGGATGAATGGAACTGATGGGCAATGATGCCATTTATCAATATACTGACATATTTTCAGAGTGACTGAAATATTGACATATTTTCAGAGTTATAATTTGTAATGGAGGCATAGTACTGGGAATGATCAGTGTCCATAATTTGACAAATGTTACGAAGAATGCTTTTGCTCCGACCCACACTGCTTTCAACCTGCCGTGTTCATTATTAGCCTGTTAAGGACCATATTAGCCTGATTAAGGTAGGGATGGAATGAAAACCTTCTGGCAGAAGGTCCTGTAGGATCAGGACTGAGAGTCTCTGGATTAGTAGGACATGATGTGCAGAAAATTGAGAATGTTGCCGTTCTTGACCCTACGAACGGTTCCCCTTCCTTACCTACCTTGCGGCCAGCTGCTGGCTCCTTCCAGCCCCCACGCTCATTACGCTCTGGTGTGACCCTCAGGCTGCTCTGCAGTAAGTCTCTGGGGAGGCCGCCCAGCCTGGCCCACCTGGACAAGGTCAACTCCAACAGCCTGGACTCCTGCGTGAACCTGCACGACCTGCCGCCCAAGGTGCCTCCCTTCTCCAAGCTGCAGGACCTCGCCGAGTCGGTGCCGCCCCCCCGGCTCACCCCCAGCCCCGCCCCCGTGCTCCACATCGACTCCCCCAGCTGCTTTTCGGGACAGGCCCTCAGCGTGGGCGGCTCGCCCCTGCTCTACCCCAAGCTGTCTGGCTTTCACCGCAGCATGGAGTCCCTGCCCCTCCAAATGAGCGTCCCGTCCAGCCCCGCCCCCACCGGCGACCGCCAGCAGGAAAGGACGCCGGCGGTCTGGAGCGCCGGCAGCAGGGCCTCTCTCACGCTCCCCGAAAGGTGTGTGTCTCCCCTAAATGGGCCTGTTTCCTGATGCGTCATAAATTAGCCCCCTATTGGGCTGACATGGTATTACATGTCTCCCCTCTTAACAGGCCTGTTGCCTTCAGGTAATGTAAACAGGCTCTTCCAGTCTGAACTCCCGTGATTCATTGCAGCAACAAACTGCAGGGTTAAAACAAATCATGTGGAGATGTAGTAGTGACATTCTAACTGTCCTCCAAAGGCTTCCGGCCAGATTTAAATCCCTTTGTTCCACCTGTCGTGCTGTGACAGCTCCGGTGAACGTCCCACGCCTTGCAGAACGTGCGGCAGCGTGTGCAGTGCCACTAGCACCATCTATTGGCAAGACTGAAAAATGCATTTTCCTTTGTGCACAAACAGATGAAGGAGAAAGAGGCGTTTACCATTCAGGATCTTTAAACTGGGGAAGAAAGACAATTAATTGGCACTAAAAAAATAACCTGCTCTGCATCAGCTTCTTACGTGTTGATACAGCTGCAAACTCTGGTGTATGGGAAGGTGCATTATGGGGGATGCAGTCCCGTGGACGGGATGCCAGTGATCGGAAAGGTCTTCTTAAAACCAATGACTGATGGATAAATCCCTGTCCTGGGCCTGTTGGTGCAGTTTGCATGATCTACCTCATGACTTAGTGGGTTTTTCAGAGACAATCAAAAGTCAGCTGAATTTTAGTCTCTAAATAAATCCCCTTTGTATACGGGCTGGGATAGGGGACAGAGATCCCACCTAGGACATTCCCAGCTCTGTGTTTGGGGGGGACTGAGATCCCATCCAGAATATTCCCAGCTCTGTGCTTCATGGGATTCCTCTTGCAGACCCATTAATAGATTAACGCATGAGGATCAGACATCTGTCATTCATATACTGAGTCATTGTCTGCGGTGTGGCTGTCGCAGAGCTTGTAACATTAGCTAATATTAAACAGTCCTTGTTGTCCGGTAGCTATATGCACATTTAAATTCCCCAGCACTTCCTGTTATTACCTGAAGCCATTAGTCAAATAAAATGTCTTTCCTGCTGTCGTTATCTGCTTTTTCGTAAATGCTCTGCCTGTTTGCAAGAACATTTCCATTATGTATCACACGAGGTGAACTGAAATATCAGAACAGAAATAACTCATAAAATACCTATTTATGCTCCTTAATAGATGGGTCTTAATCGCCTCCATATTTTGCCCTGTGGCTATAATTGACTTGACCAGCGTGGCGTACGGGGTGAGAGAGAAGGTTAATGGTTCCTATAATTTCATTCGGGCGACCAACAATGTCACTCTTTCCTTTGTAGTGGACAAAGAGACCGGAACACTTTGCCCAAGAAAGGACTAAGGTGAGGTGCCTGCCACTGATGTACATGAGCAACTCTAATGTAGCCTTGCAGTTAAAATAATAATGTCTGCCCCCCTCCCCCCCCCCCCCCCGAACTCGCAGTCGCTACAGTTCTGGTCAGGCAGAGGAGGAGGGAAAGGAGAGGCGTCACTCGCACACCATCGTGAGCCTGACCGACTCGGGGACACCCCCGCAGCTGCCTTCCCCCACCTCCACCCCCCCGGCCACCTCAGGCAAAACCCCCCTCACCAACGTGGGTGAGTGCCCGCCCCCCCATGGAGCATAGCTCTAGTAGCCAGCTCCTGTCCAGGTCACGGAAAATATGACACCTGAAACAGTGAAAAGCCCTTTGAAAAGTCTGAATCTTCATGCCAGATGTACTTCCTGCTGTGATGGTCACATGACATAGTGCAACACCAGCTTCTGAGTCTGATTGGTGTATCTTTGTCATGTGACCTTTGCAGCCTTTATATTCAAGTACTTTCTGTCACAATAGTTATTTTTATATAACATTACAACTATTCCTTCCTAAGTAAGGACAAATGTAGACATCACTCTTTGGCTTTAAAAAAAACAATATGTGTTGTATCTGATCCAGTATTTAATGTGACTGAACCAGGCCCAGGGTTTCTGATTCATGGTTAGTGACGCTGACTCCCCATGTGTCTACAACCTCGTGACCCTATTCCCTCCCACCCCTCCACAGTGGCCCCCACCCCCAGTGCCAGCACGCCCCGCATCACTCGCTCCAACAGCATCCCCACCCAAGACGCCGCCTTCGATCTGTACACAGCGCAGCCTCTGGGGAGCCCCGTCTCGCTGGCGGACCGGCCCAAAAGCATGATGCGCTCAGGCTCCTTCCGCGAGCCCGGGGACGACGGTAAACAAGTGGCCTTTGCTCCTGGGAGACCCCCGTCCTTTCCAGATTCACCCCCTCCCCTTTCTGTCTTTGCCTTCCCCACCATAAGCTGGCAGTGAATCTCCTGTTCTAATGCTGCAGAAGTGTACAAACTCATGGATGGATGGATGAATGGATGGATGGATGGATGGATGGATGGATGGAAGAAATGTTCCCCCTTCTTGGTACACCAAGGCAGGACTGTTCGTGATGATTCCCCAAATTCTCCATCATCCGTCTTTCTTCAGCTGCTCCCAGTGCTTCCGCGTCAGTCCTCTGAGAGAGTCGGCTCTCCGGCGAATTTGTTCATTATCGTGACATATTTTGCTTCCCTAACTATTTACAGGTGCTGCCGTATTCTGGATTGCTAGAAATGTCACAAACTCCATCGGCTAAACCAGGAACGGGGAACCGGTTCCATGGAGAGCCGGTGTGCGTGTGGGTCTTTGGGATGGCCTCTCAATCAGCCAATCACAGTGGGTCCCCCGGACTGGAGTTGAGAACCACTGTTTTATTATTGGCTGATTGAGAGGTCATCCCAAAAACCTGCACCCTCCATGGAACAGGTTCCCCATCCCTGGACTAAACCATATGTTACTGTGTCCTTTGTTTTTGTCATTTAAGTGCAGTACTGCTCTTCAAGCTTATAAACATCTCAGCCATGACTGATCCTTTTATGTCTGATGTGTATCTTGATAGCAGCTGGGCTTTGTGATATATACATATATAATATGCAAATATACTGACAAAATAGTTTGTTTAGTTAAATCAGAGAAAACAAAGCCAGAGAAAACAAAAGCATTTATACCTGACAGGATACAAGATTAATGGAATGATTCATGTGTGAAAACGAAAACAGAAAATCAATCTTGTTTTATCTTTATGTTTAAACTGAAACATGTCTGATGAGTTTTTCTTTTATGCATTTGGTTGTGGAAGATATATTATGTCTTATTTTCATTTCATGCTTTCTATCCTTTTTAATTAGCTCACAGATGTTGTCTAACTCCGTACGCCTCCACCAAATCATGTTCAGCAGTCTGGAGACTTGTTATAAAACGCTAAGCCTTTTATTTCTCTCTCTGTCTCGCTTTGCAGTTCACGGCTCCGTGCTCTCCCTGGCTTCCAGCGCTTCTTCAAACTACTCCTCGGTGAGCTGAGCTCTCTGTCGCCCCCCGGAGGCTGCCCCCCCCCCAGCCCAGTGCCGGCAGCTCTGCCGTATCGTTTTGGCGGCTGTATTTTCCGACTGGTGTGAAATGTCTAGAGCAGGGTTATTCAAATCACGGTCCTCGAGGTCTGAGCCCTGCTGAATTTCCAGCTTTCCTTTACCTGTCAGTCAGGTGTGACGCCTCTGCAGCCAATCAGAATCAGTGATCATTAAACTAACTACCCAGGAGAACTGAAAACAAGGCCTGGAATTTGGAATCGAGGTCCAAATTAGAAGAGCCCTGGTCTAGAGTCTCGGGCAACCTACGAAACCTGGAACTTTCATCCGTGTAAAATGAGCAATTTGCCGACTTTGTGTGCTTATGAATCTACGCTAGATAAATGGTGCTGAATTTATGATTTATGGAGGCGCAGATGCAGCCAGACCCCTTCTACACTTAACCACACTTCATGTTTAGCCACGTTTAGCGCAGAAAACCTCCTGGAAGATATAAACGTCCTATGATTGACTGGGTATTCGGCTATACTGTGTTATCAAATAAATGCGTGCAATTTCCCAAGATTGCATGTGTGAATTGGTTGAAAAAAGCTCTCCTTTTCTTTAAGAAGTTATTTTTGCACAGGTAGCTGTGGTCTCCATCTCTAACTGCCCCCCCGTGACTTTCTAGCTTTGCGCCCCCTGATCTCAGTGCTGCCCCCCCCCCCAGTCCACCTCCTGACCCCCTTATCTTCTGTCTGCTGCTCTTCCACTCTCTCACTCTCTCGTTTATCTGTCCTTCATGCTCTCCTAGGCTGAAGAAAGGATGCAGGGCGAGGTAAGCCTCTTCCTGTCCCTCTTCCCTTTGTGTTTCTCCTCCTCACCCTCCTCCATGCTGAACCCCACGTGTCCTACACAGACTCTCAGAACTTGGTAATGCAGCTGCACCAGTTTTACATTAATTACATTAAGTTTAAATAAGTTCTTCTCAACCGTTTTTGCTCCTTCAGAGCTCCCTGCTCAACAATCCATGTCGTATCTGGGTGGGAGCAAAAACATGGACCAACCTGGGGTCCCTGCAGGCCGGTTTGTGAAGCACTAGTTCACGTTAGTTTTGCCTGTGGGTGACGCAAACAAGGATCGTGAGGAACTTGTAATTCCTTTCATTTAGAAACAGCATAAAGTTGTTGTTTTTCTAAAAACATACGTTTATTTTCACAGCTGTTGTATAAAGCACAGCTCACGTGGCATTGATTTTACGTGCCGATGTGAAACACACATACTCTTCAAGTGCCATTCTCAGCTCCATGACATAATGTTGACGTGTCGTATGAAGGTAGCTGCAGATCATTACCCAGCAGACATGGGTATGATTCCACTGGGCCAGCGTAGATCTTTTCCATATGGCAAATCCTGTGCCGGGTGTGATTCATACCAAACATCTTTCTGAGTTATTACGGTGTTGTTAAATAGACCATTGCTATCGCACTTTCCAGCGAGTGCAGAGAAGGGGAGTCCCAGTCGTTCAAACTCCTATGTTCCCTTTTGTCTTGCAGCAAATCCGAAAGCTCCGGAGAGAACTGGAGTCATCGCAGGAGAAGGTGGCCTGCCTAACCACCCAGCTCTCCGCGAACGTAGGTGTCCCAGTGAAAGCCCAGTCCATTTCAGGGCCATAACCCCAAACATACAGCCCCCACTTGACCCTGTAGCAGCCCCACGTGAGCCCATCCTACACAGCTTACAAATAGCTCTCAAATTTAAAATGTTATTCTCTCAGATGCCAGACACTTTGAATATGTTTGGACATACTCCAGTATTCTACTGGATATCCATAAGTGGAGAGACCTGTATTATGTTTAGCTTTTTCTTTTGTTGTTTGGCCATTTCTGCTTTAAACTGGAGCATTAGTGGAAGTCACTTTTTGCACTAACTACATCAGGTGGTTCTAATTAAAAAGCGGTAAAAATGTGATAAATAAGTGTTTTTTCCTGTGTCTCGCCTGTCTGCCCATTTTTGATTGATGCAGGGAGTTGTCGTCAATGACATCAGTCACAAGTGTAAGACTTAAGTTCGCGTGCTAATGACTCACTGTAGCTGTGGAGCCCGAGTAGAAACTACAGTTACACTGCCATCTGCTGCTGTCAAACAGTACTGCACAGTACTTTTGCGTACAGTTACACTGCCATCTGCTGCTGTCAAGCAGTACTGCACAGTACTTTTGCGTACAGTTACACTATATGGACAAAAGCATTGGGACACACCTCGCAATCACTGAATTCAGGGGTTTCATTCAGACCCATTGCTACAGATGTATGAAATCGAACACATAGGCATGCAGTCAGGTTTGCAAACATTTGGGAAAGAATGGGTCATTCTGAAGAGCTCAGTGAATTTAAGTGGCACTGTCATAGGATGCCGCCTTCGCAATGCGTCCAGCGTCAGTGCCTGAACTCGCAAATGGTCTTCTGGATGCAGGGGCAAAACTCTCCCCAGACTCACTCCAAAATCTTATAGAAAGCCTTCGCAGAAGAGAGGCAAGAGGGACCAACTCCATATTGATTTAGAATTGTGATAAGATTTAGAATGTGATGTCATAAAAGTTCCCGTGTGTGTAATGGCCAGGTGTCCAAATACTTTTGTCCATATAGCGTTTTTTTTTTTTGTTCTTTTTTTAAAGAAATTTATTTATGGCCCGAATTTGTGTTCTCAAAACAAAGAAAACAAATGTGTTAAAGAACATCTAGTAATGTCCCTGTGTTAGGAAAATTGTTGCGCCATGGTAAGAACTGTGGGATTTCTTACAAGTTCTTTTTTAACTGTGGAAGCAGAAACCGCTGTTTGTGTTTTACTGAAAGTATCGACCCAAAGCCGGATTTAATAGGACAGGCTTTGAGTCTGGCGAATACACACTGAGGTGCCCAGGGGGGGTGAGATGGTGAAATACGAGATTCGACGACTGCCACAGGCGGGACATTGATTTTGGGGCTCTGTGGCACGTCAGGGACAAACAGGCGGCGTGTTTACAGATTCCTTAAGGGTTGAGTTAGTTTTGTGTTCCTCTGCCATGGAGTTAGTTTGCAAAACAATGCGGGGGAGTAAACCTTTTAACGCATGTCTGTGGAAATTAATATCAACACTCTTTACTGTTAAAGTTTGGAGCAGTCACTCAACACATTGCAGTCTTTTAAATATAAACTTAAAACTAGTTATAAATTATTAAGATATCTCAAAATCTGAAAGCTGTGGCAACTAAACTCAAACAGAATCTCAGTACTGAATGTTCTGCTCAAAAGATGCCTTATTTAATCCTCAAGGTGTCATTATGACTACAAACTGACTCCGTGTTTATGATTCAAAGGTAATACTGCGGTTATTATTTTCATGAGCTAAACATTGTAATTTGCTTCAAAATATTATAAATGCATTGTTTAATTATGAGTTTTTCTCTTAGCGCAGTTATAATGATCATAAAATGAATAAATTTTTCATAAATCCTTATGCAACACCGGGTCACAGTGTTAGCATGGAGTCTTGAAGGGAGGGAAGACCTGGATGGGGTTCCAGTCCATCACGCTCAGGAACCGTGCAAGAACACCAGGGAACCCAAATCGGAGTGGGACCGTCAGTGCTGATTCTTTGCCTTTGATCTAGGCTTAAATAGTGGGCTCTGGAGCTGCTCTGAGTCTGAGCCAGATCTCATCATTTCCATGTTTCTTTACCCCCTTTGATATTGGCTGTAATGTCCTCCAGGCTAAATGCCTTGGTGAAGAAGATCATTTGACTACAGCACAGTTTTTTCAGGCTTCACCAGCAGATGGCGCCAGTCCTGTTTTCATTTCAGTATGAAGTACATGTCGACTTTTAGTGACCAAATAAATGCTATTCTAGCAGGACCTTTTTCTGCTTTGGTATTCAGATTTCTCAATGGCATGATGTGATTGTTGTGATGGTTTAGTCTACTCATCTTGTTCATGGTCAAAGGTCTAATTACATCCATCCATTTCTCAAACTGCTTGTAATATTCAGGGTGCATATGGGCACAAGGCAGGGAATAACCCAGGATGGGGCACCATCGCAGGGCACGCTCACACATGCACGCCTATGGGGAATTTTGGTAACTCCGGTTACCTCAGCATCTTTTTGATGCTGTCCAGTGGTGACCTGGAAGCTCCCCGCAATTCACTGTTTATTACTGCCGCAGACATTAGGGCAGAAGAAAGCTGACTAACAGAAATGCTTGTTTTTTGTATCTGGTGCTTGGCCAGTTGGAAGCCGTGTCTTTTCCCCTGTATTCCGTGCTGGGAAAGACATTCCCTCGCCTGCTGCAGTTTCTCATCTCTCTATACAATGACAACAGGCAGCAGTTAAATCTGTAGCATGTCTCCTGCAAGCCGAGTGAATACTATTATTCACCGAGTTATTGGGGTAATTTGATGGCGGAGAAGCAATCTTTTGAAGACCCTATCTTTAGTAAATAAATTTTTCTTACAAGTGCATCTTCAGTTGATCAGTCTCAGCTCTGATACTGAAGTTCTGGTTTCTAGAGTATTTCCGTACCTGGGAGAAGTAGCATGTTGCTGTATTATTTAACTGCTCCATCCTTCTCCGTCCTTCATCGTTCTTCACGACACCCACCCGGCCTCCCCAGTAGCAGCGCGGCTGACCTTTGCCCTCGCTTTTCCGTCTCTCTCCAGGCGAACCTGGTGGCTGCCTTCGAGCAGAGCCTGGCCCTCATGACGTCACGCCTGCAGAGCCTCTCCTTCAGTGCTGAGCAGAAGGTAGGTGACAGAGATGGGACCCTAATTGTACTCGAGTGCATTACTCATCATCCTTGTACCGTCTCGGGAAACCCACAGCACGGAACTTCACCCTGGACTGGATGCCAGTCCAGTTGCCGATTAATAGAAGGAGGAACTTCACACGGGAAAACTCCAGACATGGCAGAAACCAAACCCACAGCCTCAAAGGTGACTAAACAATGGGCAGTATTCAGTCTGTATAACTAATCAGTCTCCAGTGTGCTCTGCGGTTTCCAGAACGTGCAGGTAGCCAGATTTTTGGAGAGTAAATGATCGTTATTCTTCTTGGCGCTTTGAGGCTTCATGTGTCAGTGGGAAGCTTAGGAACCGGAGTCTTTCTGTCAAAGGATCATAATCTGCTAGTCAGATTGGCTCACCAATGTCCCTGAACTTTGGTAGATGTCTCAGAAGTTAACTTCTGTATCTTAGGAGACAGATTGCAGAACAGGGGTCTGTATAGTGTGGTCCAGAGAACATTAGCTACAGTATTAATCTTAATCAGGTTTCAGCAGCAGCTTGTCACACTGGATGCTACAGAGGTTTTTTCCCCATCCATGTGTATTTGTTCACATTGAAGTTTGTCATCGAGAAGAAGACATACACCCCCCAGGCGTGTACCTGTTTTATGTCATCTTCCATTGCCAAAGACCAGTTCCAGTACTCAAGAACAGAATTGCAGCGGACAGTAATTCCTGAATGGCATTGTTGCCCAGGCCCAAATATCAAGCCCAGATATCAGTTGCATCCTCGCTAAATGAGAACAATCCCATGATTCATTGCACCCCAAGTTCGTTCTTGGGAAGCACATTAGTAAGACCGATCTTGACAAGACTACAAGTCTGATCTTTGCATTCTTGGTATTGAGAAACACCTTCGGTCTGGGGAAGATGTAGGAAGAAGTTATTTATTAGTTTTAGGATTTAAATTTTTAGCTCTCCCCTTTGTGACGAATCAAACAGACCCAGAGAGTGTAGATACATCCTACAGACCATTTCAGAGTACCATTTGCTATTTTTTTTCCAGTTCTCTCCAATACAGGATACCGGCCAGTTTGTGATGTCATAACGTGATCTGTTGAAGCATGCCTTTATTGCTGAAGCTGGGAACTCTGAGGAACAGCTTCAGGCTTTTGAAAATCAGGTGGCCTCGCATGTCGAATCGGGAGTGATGAGGTATCTCCATTGACATGCACATTTCAGGACTCTGAGCTGTTGGACCTGCGAGAGACAATCGAGATGCTGAAAGCTAAGAATACAGAAGCCCAGGCCATTATCCAGGGGGCTTTGAACAACCCCGATAACGCCCCCAAAGGTAGGAAGGCCCCCACCACCCTGCCGTTTGACCAGCGTGAGGCGTGAGGAGTGAGGCCTTCAACATCGAGCTGTAGTGCAAGCAATGCAGTAATAATATGCTAGCGTTGATGAAATGTAGTCCTGTGTTTCCAAATTGTCTTCTAATATGTGGATAGTTTCTTCATTTTAAGAGCAAATGTCTTCTCTTATTTCTTTTCTATTGGATTATACACTGTAATATTTTACACTTTAAATGTTACACTAAAAATTTACCATGAAAAACAGATGCTCCCTGACTTGCGGTGGGGTTTGGTTCCTATGAACTCATATGAAAATATCGTGAGTCAAATATGAATATGATGTGACAACCACAGGAAAAAAAGAAACTGAGTACAGTGCACTGTAACCACTGTATGAGATGTGTACGCTGGTGATAGCTACAGGTACTGTAAGTGTGGCTGGATGGATGCTGCCCGGTATCAGTAGAAAGTATCGTACGACATGTCGCTAGTCCCAGAACAGAGCAAAATTCAAAGTTTGATGACTACTGAATGTGCATTGCCATTCGCATCATCGTAAAGTTGAAATATCGTAAGTCGAGCCATCGTAAAACTAGGAGCATCTTTTCTGTAATTTCAAACAGTAATACAGGTTAATTGGGGTATTAAATAGTAATAATCAGTACCTGCCTCAGGCATTGCAGTCATTACTCTTTTAACAGGTTCATTTATAGATTGGAGGAGCATATGAATTATTTTTATGATACCTATGTAGTGCACTATCCAACCAATTCTCCTTGAAGGCAGTAGAATGTTTACGGACGAAGCGACAAGGCCAACCGGCTTGTGCAGGCATCCGCAATGCATCCATATCTTCGGCCCTGTACCTATGCAGAGCTGCGGATCAAGCGGCAGAACTCCTCAGAGAGCATCTCCAGCCTCAACAGCATAACGAGCCACTCCAGCGTGGGCAGCTGCAAGGACGCCGATGCCAAGAAGAAGAAGAAAAAGAGCTGGGTGAGAGATCAGGGCCACGTGGTCAGAGGGTCGATGCCACCTGCTCTCACGGTCTTTAACTTTGGATAAACAAGTTAAGCTACAGTAGAGAGTTAGGCTTCGATTCACACGTGTCCCGCCAAGTCAACTCTACAGCGTTTCTTTGTAATACACACTGTAAATCCTCACCTTTATTTAGCAATGAAAGTAGCAGTCAGTGGAACCACGGCTAAAACAAAAATAATAGTACAACATAAACGCTTACTTCCACAATAAAAGCACCATCCAATGTCAAGGAGCGCTAATGATCGTCGGGTCGAGTTTCATTACGCTGAACATCTGAGGTCCTTTTGCATTTCATTTAAAGTTTCCAGAGTATTCAGTTGCTGTCGAGTGTTAAAAACTGGGAACATTTTTAATGCTGATCTAGTGAATCATTGCTATAACCAAGACTATGAAAAGGCCCGATGCCGTCACGGTGAGGCCTGAGCTGATATTTAGGAGGGGCTAATGGATCAAGCTTGGCTTTCTGTGGCGAAAGCTTCATTGCGTCTAGTGACCCACCAAAGCTGCTTATCTTCTGTCTCTTTGTGTTCTTGTCTGTCTTCGGTGCACATTCCAAGCCCGACATTCAGTATGACTCTGATCTCTACTCCCACGCCTATCCTGCTCTTTATTTCAGGTGTTCGAGGTGAGTATCTGGTCTTGCCAGACAGTGACCTCACTCTCTCCTCTCTGCTCAGCCCGGTCTTACATACTTTCCCCCAATGAGTCATACTTGGGTACCTTCAGTAAAGCCGCGTTGTTTTACCACCATGCAACCTCATTTCCACCTTTTCATTCACATAGGTTGGAACAATAAGGCATGTTAACCATTCTGTAACCAGCTTAAGAATTTAGCATAACTTTTTAGTTTGTCTGTGTCTTCTTGTCCTCATGCAAATCCATTCAGGTCCCATGTTCTCCTTCACTAAGAACCTACTGTGAATGAAGGGAGTCTTCATGTGTTTGTTTGCTTTGATGGTTTTTCTGTTTTCCCATTGAGGGACTGAAGAAAGGTCTTAATGTCGATCTGGAGCCCTGTGACATGTAAGGCTGTGGAGATGCCTGAGAAAACTGTCACGCAAAAAGGCTACATTTCCTAAAGCCACTTGACCTTAACAAAATATCTATAAATTCTAGCTGCAATCCAAATGTAACCACTTCCTGCCATATAAATTCCAATAACTGTTAAATATCAATATTATACAGGTATGATATCAATTTCCATCAGACAGGGAGGCCTTCCATTGAGAAGCAGGCCTTTCACAAGAGAGGAAATTATAGAGTAAAGCTGTTATAGAAGCGTTGATCGCTGCTTTTTCCCAGCTGTTCTCATAAGTACTAGGTTCTGGAATTTCCTCGTTTATTATTATTTAAAATAATGGTATTATTGATGATAATAATAAATATATTTGATTGGATTGAAAGTATGAAAAATAATGAAATAGAAATATATAATAATGAAATAAATTAATCCAGCATTTGTATACTCTAGATCATGTGCAACTGATAGATATTTAGTTTCCGTTCTGATATGCTGCCGTTCAGGTTATCTGAACCTCTGTACTGATGTCCTCTACAATCCAAAAACATGCTAAGGTGAATTGAACTTCACCGTGAATGGTGTGTGAGAATGGTGTGTGAGTGAATGAGTGTGTGAGAATGGTGTGTGAGTGAATGAGTGTGTGAGAATGGTGTGTGAGTGAATGAG